TGATTAAAAAGTGCATCAACAACAATCTTGAAGATGGGAATTCCATCAAAGCTACAATGGCGACATCTAGCACCGGGGGGGCAACAAGAAAATTCAAAGACCGATGCACGCACAGTTAAAGAAAGCAAAGACAATGGTAAGCACAAAGGTAAAAAGCCGAAAGTCACTTTCGTGCAGTTATTAGAAATATATCAGAACATAAGTGAGGCAAAGAGTGCTTATCGGCCGAGTGAAACAAAAGCATCGAATTCACCCCTAAGGCATAAATTTGAAGACTTGGATTGGCAAAGAAAGACGTTGAGCAAGCAGACTTCATATCCTGCTTTTGGGCCGCCAAAGCCAATGTTGTGGATGCTTCCCTACACTCATGTAAATCCATATCCATCATGGGGCAGGTATGATACAAGGGCAAATTATCCATCTTATTTTAGATCCTCTCGCCAACATTATGCAGCTCCAAAAAGATCAACATTTAATGAACAATCACATGTCAAAGACCGTTTCAATCATAAGGAATCGGTCCGGAGCTCAAGGAACAAGAAAGAGGTGGTCAAGCAAGTGTACCAGGTCAAGAAAGATGGTCGTAAGTGTGCTACTTCAGATTTGTTCTCAAATAACAAAGAGCCAGTTAAAGTATTGACATTGGCTACAAAAGGCAATGAGGCAAGTCAATCAAGTGCCAAATCTGAAGGGAAGAAGTTGAGAGTGCACAAGGCCAAAAAAGAGTTGGCATTGGTTAAAACAAAATCACAGCCGATGTGCCCACTCGGCTTAGCACATTGGCAAGAGAAAGAATTACAAAGACTTAGTGCACATGAGTTGAGAAAGAAGAACATGGCATGAGTTCCCAAGAGGAGCAGTCAAAATAGAAATGATGTCCGACCTTCTATTGCAACAAGTGTTAAAAAGGTGAAGAAAGAAAAGGATGGCCGCAAGAGTGCTATTTCAGATCCGACTCCAAATGACAAAAAGCCAGCCGAGCCTATGTTGGCTGCTAAGGACAAGAAAGTGAAGCAAGTAAAATTCAAGGATCCAATAGTCAAGTTTGGACAGGCCAAGCCAGAGATGCCCAAAGTCAGGAAGAATTTGCCAGTGCATAAATCAAAGTCCCAGCCGGGACGCCCACTCGGCTTACCATATTCGCAACAGAAGAAGTTAAAACGTCTTAGGGCCAAAGAGGTGGAGAAGAGGAACATGGCCTGGGTTCCTAAGGGAAATCCTCGAGTCAAGAGCGGCATCACATCTCCTGTTGCGAAGCCAGCAGAAATAAGGGAGTACAAGTGTAAAGCCCGTAGGCGAGGACGACAATTTTCATATAGGAGACTCCAGGAGGTGTCTCATCCATATTCTTTAATCGTACCATCAAAATCAACGCTATGGAATTTATCCTCAGCCAAAACATCTGAATTATTTCGGCTATTCACTTTGGTGGACGGACTCCCGAGCACTTTTGAGATAAGAACGCATGGCCGATATTTGCATATCGCCCTCAGAATTCATTGTGTTGACAAACTCGGCATCTGGCTAACGGTGTTCGCCATGGTTGATTTCCTACTCCTATAGCCGATGCTCAGTGTTTGCCAATACTGGCGAGGCCGACTTAATTATTGAGGCGACCACCAATCAAGGGTCTAGTGCATAACAGAGCCCCGACTCCAAATGTCATTTATTTGCAGGATCCAAGTCAGAAGACAGACGTTGTTCGGCGGAGGCTTGATGGTGTACTTTGATAACGAGTTGAGTCGCCGAACAGTTGACGATATTCCTTTGAAGTGCGTGGTCATAATCGTTCGGCCACCGTCGTCGTTGAAGGGTTCTAATATTCCCAGGGAATGCCTGGACAAATGCAAGGTCCGGATTGACATAAGAAACTTACGTGGAAGCCTTTGTGACATCCAATTGTTGTTTTCAGACAACTATTATCCAAGAGGCTCTACCAAAGAAGCAACAAACATGAGCATATGGATGATTAAAATTATCATACTCAACATGCACAGCCGATGGAGTGTTGACATCGTGCTTAAACATTACCCTAAGCAAGGTATTTTCTGGCACGCAAGCTCTGCCAGAAAACAGGGGGGCGTGTGTTGACACCTGATTTTGGCAAGATATAGATTGCAATGAAGATGGTCTCGAGTGAACGGGTTTTCAGCATGCAAAGATTCACGTCGTCGAGTGGAACAACTTTGATGTTTCGGTTATATTCATTGGACCTTATCTTATGGACCGAAAATATACTCCGAGTGTCATAATTCAATATTTTGAGTGGTTTTTGGTCAATCACGTCTTCAAGATGACCTCGGATGAAGGAGCACTATTAAGGAATTGTCTTCGTCTCGTCGAGCCAATCAATTTTGATATATAAATCATCTCAATCCGAGTTCATATGCAAAAGTTAGAGGCAATACGCTGCAGACCGAACCTCAACGGAAATATGGCGCGAGGTGCCAGACACTTGTCTGATAGGTTGTGCGAGTAATTCGGCCATCAAGGAGGCCTTGAATCGAAAAACCTTCAACACGAAAAGTTTTTTCTCGTCGAGCCGATCGTTTTTCATATAAAATTTGTCTTAATCCGAGATCGTATGCAACCTGGAGAGGCAAATCAAGATCAGACCGTGTTTTCAGTCGGGAAATCCGAGTGAAAAGTTTACCATCCGAGTGAAAACCTATCGATCGAGTAAAAGGTCGAGTGAAAACTTATCGATCGAGTAAAAGATTGGCTTCCGAGTGAAAATATAGTAATCCGAGTAAAATTATCATCCGAGTGAAGTTATTCCGAGTGAAAAGATTACCGTCGGAATGAAAACTTGACGTTCGATTAAGATATTGCCTTCCGAGTGAAATATAGTCATCCGAGTGAAAGATTGTCTTCCGAGTGAAATTATAGTCATCCAAGTGAAAGATTGTCTTCCGAGTGAAACATTGTCTTCCGAGTGAAATTATAGTCATCCGAGTGAAAGATTGTCTTCCGAGTGAAAGACTCTAACATCCGAGTGAAAAGGTCCAGTCGGACGAAAAACTCTAATATCCGAGTGGATGAGCTCGGATCCGAGTGAAACTGAAGATGTGCCCGAAAGGTAATCCAGATGACATCGGATGGAAAAGTGATCAACACGGAAGTTGTGCGCATCGTCAAAACGGTGAACTTTGGTTTTGAAGTCATTATCATCTGAGATAGTATACGGCCTGTAAGTTCACTACGAGACTCGGACAATTCAGTCCGTTACATGATCGAGTCCGACTAGATATTAAAGATGGCTTTGTAGAATATTCAAGATGGTCTTATTTGGAAAAGTGTTCAACATAAGAATTGTTCGTCTTGTCGAGGCGCACAAGTTTCATATTTGGGCCGTCTTGATCATAGGTCATATGCAAGCTCGGCGGCCCGCGCAAGGAGGGAGACAGAAGTTGGGCCAGATTCAGACTGAATCTGAGTTGGAATAGAATTAGGACTCTAGGACGTGAATTGATGTAATTTTTTGTATGGAAAGCCTAGATGAATCCTTTGCTTGTACGGGAAGTCCAGCCGCCTCTTATATATGTTGGGGGTGATGGCCGATTGAACAACACCAATCGAACCAATCAATCTATTACACTTTTGTGTTCATCTATCTTTATCCCCTACCCTTGTATCTTTCTTTCTCGTTCTTCGTTCGTTCTTCGCGTTGGAGGGCAGCGATCCACGAGGCTCTAGGGGCGAGCGAATCGACCTAGGGCAGCCCATAGCCGCCGCACTCCCTGACGGGGTCCCTCCCGGGCGTGTGGGGTTTAGGGTCTTCAAAAGCGCCCGCTGACTGTCTTGCGTATCGCACTGTCGGTCGGGTCTCCTTCGACGTGAGCTTCGGTGCATCACCCCCGGCGTCGAGAGTACACGTGACGCGTTCGTGTGTCAACAGAACTTTTTGTACAACAAGCTACAAAGTGTTTGGAACAGGCGGTACGAGAGATCAAGGATTCTTTTGCTGAAAATAACAACTTCCACTTTTTGGTGCACTATCAAAATGCTGACGAGAAGGCACGACGGAACCTCATGTTCCATTATTATTGTGCCCTTGCTATTTCAGAAACTTTGCGAGAGTGTCGATTTGGTGCCCGGGCTCATATGAGTCCGGGCATGAACAGTACTATGATTTGAATGGGGAAAAAGTTCAATTTTTTTGTGGTGCAAGATGTTTCTGTAGATGAACTCTATGCAAAATTTTGTGAAGTTTGAACATTCGAGAAGCTTGTGGGAAAAAAGACAAACTTCGGATGTCTGAGAAACTTTAAAAAATCGCACTGTTCATGTCTGACTTTGTCTTTTTTGCCACGAGCTCCACGAATGTCTAAACTTCACAAAGTTTTACACGGAGTTCACGCAGAGAAGCATCTTGCACTATAAAAAAATTAGAATTTTTTGAACTTCTTTTCCGTTTTAAATCGTTGTACTGTTCATCGGGCTCATGCTCAGCCTCTGGGTTGAATTATCAAAACTTTGCATGATATTTTACGTGTCTTTGTGACCGGAAACTAGTTATTACATTCTGTAACACCTTGACCGGACACGTCCCTTGTGCGGTGAAAAGAAAATGACTAGCATTTGCCTTAGTCTTCGTCATCACCTGATACAAGATGACGTAGCATACGTGTTACGTGTATATATTACTAGTAAATGTGCACGTGATAATTATTGATTGCATTTCAAGTAGATGCCAACATGTGGTAGATAAAAGGTTGCTTTGCGTCTCGTGGCATATAGAAAAGCTTGACAACGCATGAAACGATGAATGTTCATGTCTGGTACACACAATCACAAACATACATAAAACTGGAGAGTATAAATCAACCCATACAACTCGTTATTTCATGCCTCCGTTTACTCTTTATATGCATCAAGATGCTCTTGACATGTAAATGTTTAGTTCATTCTGCACGAAGTGTGAAAGCACTAAAAATCCAAAGCTAAACTTGGCAAGCAACATACACAATTCTACAATGTTTCCCCTCTTTCATCTGTGTTCATCCTCCTCCAAGCCAGCAAGCTTTCATGCCAAAATGCGAAAAGAATAATGCGCTGAATAAATACAAGGGTAGACATAGGAAAACAATAGTACAAAATAACATCCCGGAACACAACGGAGACATATGGAGAAGCACCAATTGTAGAAAATAAGAAAAAAAATGCAAGTCATGACCATTTTTGATAGTTTTTCTTTACACCCACTTATATGTAATACTATCAAGCAATAAAAATAATTTGATGGTCATTAGTTCCTAACCATTAACCGAATGAACAGCGAAAGGACCTCAAAGTATTTATACGTAGAAGAATAGTAAAAAATATATTTATTTATAGATGGTTCATGTGAGAAAAAAATCACATCTTGCAATTTAGACCATCCAGCCCCTTTATGAAGTGAAAGGAGTTCCAAATGTAACAACTTAAAATAAACCAACTCCAGCAGTACAAGTGTTACAAATTAAGAAAAAACAAATAATGTGTTGATGACACATGTAAACGACATCTGCTAAGAAACACCGAAGATATAAAGATAGCACACTCTGGTTAGTAATGCATAGAAACCTTATTTTGAAAAATACAAGTCAGCACAGGCACGTCGTGTAAGTTCGCAAGAAACCATAAATGTTGGCTGGGCAGTTGTCTTACAAGCAACATAAATTACCGGCACTCCAACGGCATCCCCTGAGAAGGGGCGACCGGTGCGGCACCCTCGGCGGTTCACGAATTACCGGCACTCCGGCAGCGTCCCCTGAGAAGGAGTTGTTGGTCCTTGGCTCCTTGTCGCCGCCGAGTGGAGTCCGGTTGTGGTGGTTTTTCTTGGGAGAGATAGGATCGTGATCCAGGAGGTCGAGGTGATGGACGTGTCAATGTGTGCGAATATACCTGATTAGTTTCTTAATAAAATGCGATCGTGATCAGTTTTCTAATAAAACGTGATCATGATTAGTTTCCTAATAAAACGTGATCGTGATTAGTTTCCTAAGAAGATGTGATCGTGATTAGTTTTCTAAGAAAACGCCATCATGATTATAGTTTCCTAATTGATCGGACGTGGAGTTTCATACGGTGAAGCACGGCCAGTCAATGTAAATTGTTAAGTGCACACAGAGAATGGATTAGGTTAAGACTAGCCGTTATATTGAGTTTACTGGGCTTAATCATGCGGTCATACTGAATCCGTGTACGTTTTACGGGGTGCACGTAAGAAAGTTTTTGTTTGATTGTTTAATAATAACAGAGATGGAGATTATTGTCCCGTGTCAGCTGCATGCGGCCGAATATCTACAAACCCCTCCCATGCACTACACCCAGAACCATCTCCACTGCATACGCATCTACTACAACAAAACCCTCTCCCGTGAACTAGACCCAGACAGCACCTGCGTTATGAAGCAGCGGGACGAGCTTGCCGCCGAGATGAAGGGACATGACCTTGTCGGTGCATCCGACGAGCCTGCCACCGATGAACACCGCCGGCACAGCAGGGTTGCGGCCGAGGAGCCGGACCAGCGCCTTCTCCATCTCCTTCCCCCAAGGGTCCTCGTCCAGTTCCACCACCGTCGGGTTCGCCCCGAGATCTCGGAGTAGGCTCGTCACCGTGTGGCACATGCAGCAGGAGCTCATGCCGAAGATCACCACGGCCCGCTGCCCCGCTAGCTTCGTCACCTGCTCCATCAAGCTTAGTGCTATTGCTAGTGATGTCAATTAGTAGTACGATCGCTTCTAGCTAGCTCTTGTATACGAGGCTTTGAGCTGTGCTGGCTTGCTTTGAGGTGGGCATACGGGAGCCTTGCATATATAGCCATGGAAATGTGCACCGACAGGATGATCTTCGAGCAATTTGACCAGCAAAAGGTGATACGGGAGGGTTCGGATAAATGCCGGGCTCCTTTAATTTGTGCGACACCATGCATGTATGGGTTCAGTGTGGACTGTGGAGTATCGAATTTTTGGATGGCAATGGCGATGCGGCGACCTGATATACCAAAGGGGTACAATGAATTATATTGTGTATAAGGCATGGAGCTCTGACTTTTAGTAAATTCTCTTCTATCCCCTATTCGACAAGTCAGATGAGAGAGACATGGACACATATGCTGGTGAGACCATATGGTCCTTTGCAGTTTTTTCTTTTTATCCAAAAAGAGTACAGATGTAGATGCTCATATACATCCACTCATATGAAAGCACGCGCATACACTCTAACCCTACGAGCACGAGGACTTCGCCTCCCACCGCCTTGTGTAGTCTTACATACACAAAATTCTATCATACTATATAAGACGGGAACAAATACTTGTAACAGTCTACAGTGCAAAAGATGTGGCTAAACCAAGTGCCCTAACACGCCATCCATTTCCAGTGTACAAAATGTCCTTAGGGTGTTTATTAACAAAAAAATCCTTCGTTTCATTTTTCTCAATTTTTTACCGTGATCTCAAATTTACAGCTCAACGATATATTTGAACTATAATATGTAAAAATACAAAAAAAATTGTGCAACATAAATATTGAAGTTTATTCGAAAATTATTCTTTTATATATTTATGCTACACCTGGGGTGGTATTTTCCTGACAATAGCCATCTGAGGGTATCGTGTGCGTCAGAGATTTTGATGGTGCACACAAGATTTTACCCATGTTATGTTAGAAGTATGCCCTAGTGGCAATAATATTGTATTATTCATTTTCACGTTTGTAATTAAGAGTTTATATTCTATGCTATAATTGATATAATCCTGGAATATGTGATTCAGTGGAAAACTCATAAGCACGTGTGGAATGATAAACGGTAATACCTGATTCCTAGTCTTGCCTCTAGGACTAGCTCAAGTGTTATTTGTCATCATGTTTTCTGGATCTTGAGATTGTTAAGTGTAAGGATAATCCCAAAACAACTTTGGGAGTATGACATTGGAAGAAAGATCATATTGAATTGACTCTACTAGTTTGTTATACTTTGAGATATTATTGTTACGAGTCAATCATCATAACACAGAGAGTTAACGTATGTTTTAGCTCCTTAGACCATGAGAGTATCGTAATCACTTCTTACTGTACAATGGAATTTGGGGTTACTTAAACGTCATCTGTAACACGATGATCATAACAGCAACTTACATGTTCATCCGAAATTTTAAAAGGGACTAGATAGCTCAAGAGTGAGATTTGCTCCTCCAATGATGGAGAGATATTCCTAGGGCACTCTCGGTGTGACGACATCCATCATTGTCTGGCCGGACACAGGTGACTAGGTCATAGGCATGCCGGAACATGTCAACAAAAAAGAAGAACTAAACCGGCAAGGAGGAGACCGATATAGTGAGCATGAGAATGACTCAACAGGATACCGATATCGTGAGAACACCTCGGGTTTTGTAAAGCATCGTGAAGCAAACGGAATGACACATGATAACCAAAGGTTCACTCAAATGTCATTCGTGTATTCATAGGGATCAATATGATTGTCCACGGTTTCTCTATTGGTCAGTGAACGAAAGGGGTTTTGTTCATGTCTATGTTTTACTGAACCTACAGGGTCACAAGCTTAAAACAATGACAGTCTGTTGAGTGTTAGTGGAGCAAGAGTTATGAGAAAATATTCTTGAAATAGTTTTGGGAACACAAGAAACAGTTTCAAGAGAAACCGGAAGTATTCCAGGGTTACCAAAAGTGTTTTGGGGTTTACGGGTAATACCGGGAATTGATATATAGGTGGAACATGTTTCGGGAGATATTGAATTAATGATAAAAGGTTCTAGTATGGATCAGGAGTCTTTTGGAATTGATTAAATATCAATGGTCCAAATAAAATATAAAAAGGCTAATAGGGGAAAATTAATGGGCCAAAAAGGCCCATTAGGTGGAGGCATCCCCCTCCTCTCGGCGTGGGGAGGCCGAATTGAAGGGGGTCTCCCCCTCCTCTTGGCCGGCCAAGTGGGAGGACTCCTTCCTCCCCTTGTGGCGCCCCTCCCCTCTTCCCAACCTATATATACTAGAGGTCTTGGCCCTTGGAGACACACAAGTTTTGGAGCCTCCTCTAGTTCTCTAGTTCTAGTTCAAATTTGGAGTTGATCTAATTAGAGCTAGACATAGATCTCTCTAGTCCTCATAATAGAGAATCCCTGTGTGGTTCTCTTCTTCTCCCTCTAGTTCTTCGGCGGCGATTAGCTCTGGACGGCGAAGGGCTACCGGATCGTGAAGCATGTACGCTTGCAATTTGTAGAGAAGTCATGCTTTCGGTCTTTTGTTTGAGGGATCGTCGTGGACGGTTTAAGGGACTTCAAGAACAATCTACACCAACTCTTCTTCCGATGCAACTCGAAGTTGGTAATGATCCGATCAAACCCTGTATGCATCTTCATAGAGTTCCTGGGATCATGTTTGTAGGGCAGATTATTTTGGTTTCTACTACATTTCCCAACAGGTTAATGCCCTCAGATCAAGATAATACCCTACTTGTTACTTTTTTTGTATTGATGATCTAGCCTCATATGAGTACTAGGCTTTGTGTCTACCAAGGATTCAATCGTGAGATCGTATATATAGGGGTTACCAGCGTTACCCCAGATGGTTCTATCTAAGAATATCGTGGCTGTACCGATCATGAGACCCCTACCTGTCCTTATATAGGGGATGGGAGATAGAGTAAAAAGAGTCCTGATGGGTTTAAAAGGTAAAGTCCTAGTGGGTTTATAACTAGCCAAAGATGGTGATGCGCCCTGCATAGCCAAGGACTTTGAGTAGTAGGCTTGGGCCACCCCTTGCTTACTGGGCCTTCTTTGTCCTTCATAGCTACGTCCTGGAGGTATTGGCATCGCCAACACTAAAAACTGCAAAATGTCCCTGCACATTGTAATTCTAATGTTTTGTTGACCTATAGAGTGTCATTTTATATATAAATTTGTAGGAGAGATTAAAATGAGAAGTTTTCTTTGAAATTATGATAGATAACATAGATGTTGATGCATGCGTCGGTGTTTAGTTATCACGTGATAGAGCCATAGAGGTGCGCACCTACACCTGGATTTAGAAGTTCACCATCATGTAATTAAATATTTGGAAGAACACATGCTACACTTTTATGATAAGAACTACATATTTTCATCACTTATTTTCACTATGAAAGTTTGGTAAGATTATCACAAAACCATGAAGACACCAATACACCTATTGATTGTTTAAGACACCAAATGTCCAGTAATTACCAGGGGTTTGGGGCATGCAGAGGAGCAAGCATAAGATGCAATATGTGTTACAAGATACTAGTGGGATAGTGTGCGCCCATAGGGTTTGTTGTGAGAATCATTTTAACACTAACTAAGAGGAAGCTTGGACTTAGAAATTCAATGCAAATAAAACTAATGTGAAATGTTAGAAGGTAGAAAATGAAATCATGTTTCATGCCTTGTCCCTACCCTCCAAAACTATGGCAAGACAACATATTAGAAGTGGGACCAGAGGCTACCAAGAGACCGGGGCTCAGTTTATTTTTTCAAGGACACGATAGATGTATCAGTATCATAGAAGAGCAATGCTAGGATGGCCACATCGTCATTTTACAAGCAACACCACGAACCCATAGGCCAAAACTCCTCATGTCAACTTCTACCTATCCAGTCTACTAGGTACAAACCCATACCTCCACAACAAATTTCCCATCCTCTACCTTTGGCCTTCCTCAGCCACCCGCTCTAATACCTTGTCAGACGAGGGTGTCGCCCATTGAAGATAAAATCAGTGAGGTGTTCGCATATCGCCCCTGCCACAAGCATCACTACCGTCCATGTATCTCTCGGGTGCCCCGGTCTAGGTTCAACCTATTGGGGAACACAGTATTTCAAAATTTTACCTATGATCACGCAAGATCTATCTAGGAGATTCATAGCAATGAGACGGGAGAGTGTGTCCACGTATCCTCGTAGACCGAAAGTGAAAGCATTTAGTAACGCGGTTGATGTAGTCGAACGTCTTCACGATCCAACCGATCCAAGTACCGAACGTACGGCACCTCCGTGTTCAGCACATGTTCAGCTCGATGATGTCTCTCAAGCTCTTGATCCAGTTGAGGATGAGAGAGAGTTCCGCCAGCACGACGACGTGGTGACGGTGATGATGAAGTTACCGATGCAGGGCTTCGCCTAAGCACAATGATGATATGACTGAGGTGTGTAACTGTGGAGGGGGGCACCGCACACGGCTAAGACAAATCTTGGAGTGCCTTTAGGGTGCCCCCTGCCCACGTATATAAAGGAGGGAGGGAGAGAGGCTGGACCTCCTAGGGGCGCGCCAAGTGTAGGGAGTCCTACTAGGACTCCCAATTAGGATTCCCTTTCCTTTTCGGAGTAGGAAAGAAGGAAAGGAGGGAGAGGGAGAATGAAAGGGGGCAGTGGGGCACCCCTTGTCCAATTCGGTTTTGGCAGGGGGGAGGCGCGCGCCACCTCGTGGACCTTCTTCCCTCTCTCCACTAAAGCCCAATAAGGCCCATTAACTTCCCCCGGCGAATTCCCGTAACTCTCTGGTACTCCGAAAAATACCCAAATCACTCGGAACCATTCTGATGTCTGAATATAGCCTTCCAATGTATCGATCTTTACCTCTCGACCATTTCGAGACTCCTCGTCATGTCCGTGATCTCATCCGGGACTCCGAACAAACTTCGGTCATCAAATCAC